TTCAGTCAGATGATAAGATGATAAGAAGTGAGTTAGGAGACGCTGGTCACAAAATATGAACCAACTCTGATCGAACTGATAATCTGAACCCTTGGTTACCAATGCTAAAACAGACTTATTGTGTCGGCTTTCCCTGAGACTCAGCTCATATCTTTCTATTAAATTGAATGGAGGACGCCTTGCAGAAGGCCCCACGACCTGAGGAGAGCCAGGCCTGTATGCAATCTCCATTTCACAGCTAGTGCTGTGGAAAGCTGAGCTATGTACAAGTTAAAGCCAAACAACACGTTTGTGAATCCCAGGTGCCCCACACCCAGTTTAATGCATCAAACTCAAGTCCACAGCTACTGCTCCATTGCTCTATTTGGCAGTGTGGCGGCTGTGCATTTAAAGGACGTGAGGGATCCTCAGCTGCCCCCTTAGGGACACTCACACCACAGCCGAAAACCAAAGCAAATCCAGTTACCTCGCGCATTCAGTAGCGCATCATCAATTACGCTGATGTTCCAAAGAGGTTGTCTGCAGATATTAAGGAGGCTGATGAGTGTCTGCTCACACACACACACGCACACACCAAAAGCACAGAGAGGGAGACGCTTTTTCATGTAATGGTCCAGAAGCTTTGGCAGGCAGGTGTTGGCACAGAGCTCGAGCTTTTATGAGGACTTTCAGTCTCTAACTGAGGCTAGCTCCACCATCAAGAAACGTGGAAACCCTAAAGCAGCATTTCAGAAAGCTGCATTCAGCAGCTTTAACTCTGTGTCAGGTCATATCATTAAAACATCTGGGCTAATAGGAACACATGTTCTCTGGTCATAAATAGAACACATGTTTGGAAATCCTTGTATATGAGATGAAGAGAGCTCACATTCTCAAATTAATGCTTATGAAATCTCAAAGGGATTAAGACATTAATTTTTTGGGGCTGGACTAAATCTACTCGAGTGTCATGACACTTACTGAGGCTATACAAAAATAAAAATGAACAGAATAGGAAAAGACAAGCGTGACATCAACATGTTGGTTTCTGCCAAGTCGCCAATCCGCTGTGAACAGCGTCCGTGCCAGCTCTGCTGTGATCCATCTATGAAGAGGAGGCGCATGCCGAGAACCACTATGGTCATTGTAAGGCTCTTAGAAACTAATCTCCTCTAATGGGATGCTGGAGGCTTAACGGCGCAGCAGTGACTGATGTCATGACCGAGCCTGGTGAATGGAGCAGCCTTGGGGCCCCTCCTACAGCTCAGCCGGGACCAGCTACCTGCTCTCCGCCCATTTTGATGGCCAACGCCAGTCACAAAACGGGGGGGCTTTGTGACATTAAGGACCCTTTCTAGCACCAGGGGGCCAGTCCTTCCTAGCACGGTCATCTCTTACCCTGTTTTCTCAATGGTCACCGCTCTTGGTTTAGTCTGCGTGGCTGCTATTCAGTTTGGAGCCCAACATGGTTAAAACTGCTCAACTTGAGTGTGTCGTAATATGCAAACTAGGGGGGACTGGAACAGCACAGAGATGAAAGCCTCCCGCTTTAGCCTGCTGCTGCCCAGCTGTGACGGGTTAGGGGAGCAGAGTCCCACTTTCCTATGAACCCACCTGGAGCCAAACAGTTTGACGCTGTCAGCCTCTGATCGGGTCTAAAAAGCCACCATTGCTCAGGGTGTGTTTTTGAGAGCAGTCATAGCTATAGAGAGCAGCAAGCCCACGCACATCTGCCGCCCCTGTCTAAACAGCTAAACAAAGAATTTGGCCTTTAGAAGGAGCACAGCTGCCCCAGTGGAATGTCCCGAGTGGTGGAAGCAGCACCCGTGTCGGTGGAACCAGTGGGGAAAAGAGGAACATACACACTGTTAGACAGCCCGTGCTGGAAACATTTTGTGTACGCTGTAGTACTTTGAGCCTCTGATTAATCTAAGGGGTTCATCAAAACAGACAGGTAGGCTTCCAGCCTGTAGGATGTTCGAGGAACGACAGGGTAGAATTCCCCTAGCTTTTCATTAACTTAAAGATAGACTGAAGAGATGGAGAAGGTGTGTGATGACAGGACGCAACACATACACACCCATCGGGCTCACGGCTCCCTGCTTAAAGCGCTACAGCCGAAACCTGCTCTTTCTTTTGGGTTCCCCTTGCTCTGCAGAGCTCTTTGAAAGGAAGAGGAGTTGTCTCTTTTCTCTGCTCATCTCACACCGACCAATCACTTAAGTGGCCTCTGGAAATGTCACAGCGCCAGACATCTGGTACTTGGTTCCAATACCACAGAAAACATGCGAAACATCTGAGTGAAAATGGTCCGAGTTGATCTGGCTCCTCCGTTCCTATCTTTCAACTCTCGACCATGTTTAGATTGTCCTAAAAAACGGAGGCATCTGACCATATTTCACACAACGTGAGGAAATAAATCACCATCTCGCATCTGAGCATTGTGTTAGAAGGCTAAGGGGTGCCTGCTCTTACCAGACCCCCGTTTGCCTTTAATGCTGCATGCACTCTGTGAGCAAACCGGGCAGGCACAAACACTCAGTGACAGCAGGAATGTGAGCTGTTCTAACACAGGTGGACAAGGCCTATCTCTTCCTGGCATTTTCTGAGAGGGGCTGCAGAAGAGAACCATAATCAGATGAACTGATTGTATCAGCGACAGTCATTGGAAGTTGTAGTGACTGTGTCCGGAGCAAGGCCAGCCAAACCAACCGTAGAACCAGTGGGAATAAAAGCAAACAAAAAAAAAACACTCCTCGTCATTATTATCCAACCTTTCTCACTCCTATGCTGTGCTGCCCCCAAACATCCAGTGGGTAGCAGTGGGTCCGTATAGCCAGTGGACCTTAATAAGGTGGAAAAAGGAAAGCACATGCCTTGTCTGACTGATAAAAGGCAGATATGGACAGAGTCTAAAAATATTCTAGTCACCACTTGGCCTGACCACAACTTCTTTGTTGCTGATCTATGAAACGAGAATGTTTTGTAATCTAAAAGGCCACTATCCTGGAGACTGCTTTAGGATAACGGCAAATGATAGACTCCTGTCTGTCACATGCAGAAAACACAACATGCACTCTAACCGGGACTAAACACATTAATGCACAGACAGGATTCTTTACCTACACATTTTCACACACTTGGTTCAGATTTGGAAGCAGTCCTTTGAAAAACTGCACCCAATTTCCATGCAACTAATAGGATTTATTCTGATTAACGAGGCATCAAACCAAGATGCAGAGTTCAAAGTTAAACAGTGGAAACCCTTCCAAACACCTGTCGGTAAAACAAGAGCTCAGCCGGCTTTCAGCTGTACCTAAAGTTATTACATGTCTTCTTATGTTCCAATCTGTTTGATAAATTGATATCAACTTAACTCAAACTGAATGAAAACCACTGCGGGGATCGATGGGACATTAGAAGGAGACACGGCATGCTGTGCAGTGAGAGGGCTGGCAGCAGTTCTGCAGGCCACTCAGGAGAAATTAGGATTAGGTGCTTGACTCAGCCAGCGCTGCAGCCTTGTGATTCCCATTAACTGTGCTAGAGCTGTGGGGGGTGGCATTGTTTCAGTGCTGCCGAGGACAAAAGGCTACAGGAGAACAGAGGAACGTTGTGGGGATTTTGCCTTAGTACCTACACACATTATTAAGTGGTTTTCCATTCCTAACAGAAATTCAAGCCGAACCACCCTTTGTGGCACGTATTGGACATGTCCAACATTGACGAGCTTGCCAGAGCTTTGGAACAACTGGTTGACGTGTTTTACCGCGGCCATCTTCTTTACAGTGAGACCAGCGGGGACAGCGTCAAACAGGGAGTGTTTGGCCTGTCGGAGTCCGTCTCAGGCAGCTCACAGACCCCCCAGCAGCTCGTCAGAGCCACAGCGCACACACATCCTGACCGCACCCGTTCAGCTCCCCACGTCCATCAGCCTTTTATGGGAGGGAACGTGGGAGTATGAGCTCTTAAAAGAGGCCCGAGAGAGTTTAAAAAATGAATCTGTTGATGAAAGGTGTGTACATAGGCATGCATGTTCACACAGGCGAGCTGGAAGGGAGGAGCAAAACGGGGGGGGGCACTTCCAAGGAAAGGTTGGAGGCGTGCGTTTCTCCACATGCTCAGTTCCTGATAACAGAACAATCAGATGGATCATCGTCAGCTGGGCGGTTGGAAAATGGCGCTGCACAGACGTCATGAGAAGAGAAGTCTGCCATCATGCTTATGGCTGGGAGTTTGCTACAGGCTTTAGTTTAGATGGCGTTTGGGACGTGCAAACACCCACAGTGGCTCTGAAACATAGAGACACATGGAGCTAGGGGCCATGTACTGGGAGAAGTAGTACCACTGATCTGTAATAGAAAAATGAGCATAAAGGAATGCACACCACCAGGATAATTAGAGCCTTTTAGCCCAGCGGTGTGCGGGACAGGCCAGCCCAAAGCGCTCCATTCAGTGCTGCCACACTGCCTGCTCTTCATGCTGCACACCTGTAATTCATGCCAGTTCAGCTCTTTGCCTCCGACTTCGGTTTATTTCTGAACTGCAAGCGTAAACATTTATTTACTTGCAGGGGCATAGTTTATATGTGCAGACAGAGGCACACAGAGCTGTGGCCATAGGATAGCTGAAAATACACTGTGCCGACCACATACTGGCCCCTCTGAGAGCCCCCCCGCCCCCCTCCCTCCCCCCCGACCTATGGGAACGAACCGAGCCTTCCCAAGCAGCTGGCTTCTAAAGCAGTATGGGATTAAGTCACAGAATATGGCTGTGTGTGACAGCGACGCAGCACTTTCAAACACATATACCCCTAACATGGCTTCCTTTGTAAAGCAGACTCTCTGGTGAGGCCTCAGTGATTGATGACCCCTGTGACCACGGCTCCTTTTGCCATTGAACATCTTTGTGTCTCTGTGTGATCCGCCTGATGGCTGAAATAATTTAACCAGGAAGGACTGGGTCTAAGAGCAGGCTACTGACCGCAGAGGCTTCAGAGGCACTTAATTACTAATGTGGGGTCAACAAACCAGTATGGACAAAGCTTCGTGGGCCCAGATGGGTAAATGTGTGGACCAGAGGAGATTAAATCTTACCTCATAGGACCAGACGCACTGGACCCTGGCAAACCTCCGCACACAGCGGCCCACCTCCACGTCCTCATGAGTGGTGTACATCTCCTGTAGACACTCGCGGATATGGGGCACCATCCTCCTGAGGACCTCGCGGCTCATGATGACCCCCGGCCCCCCCATGCAGAAGTTTTCCCCCGGCTCAAGGGCCAGTTTGCCCAGCTCGTCCCGGGCTCCCATTCCCGTCTGGCCCAGAAAGATGGCCTCGCTGCTGTTGAGGCTACGCAGGAAGCTCTCCAGCCTCTCGCTCTTTATGTACACGTCATCGTCTGCCCTCATGAACCACTCGTACTTGTCCAGATAGTGATCGTGCATGTATTTCAGCATCATGAAAGACTTCTTCTGGGGCGGGTACGAATCATCCACATTCTTTAGAGCTACTATGGGGATTGGGATGGAGGTGTCGGAGCCCTCGCTGGAAAAGAACTCCACGCGGCCTGGAATAGTTTGGGCCCAGGTTCTGAAACATAAACAGGGAGAAAATACCGAGATCAGAGACAGAAAAATGACTTCTTCCACATTAAAAGCATTACTTTAACACAACTGGTTTGAAATCGACCCAAACGGGCCAGAGAACATTCAGCTTTACTTCAGGGGATTCGGTCGCGTGGAAAGTTTGACAGCGTTTGACAGAATGGCCCACACACTCCAGGGACGCCCTGTTCTATGTAGCACATGGAATACACCCCTGTCAATGCATTGATTCCCCAGCTGAACTAACAGCAAATGCCACACCAACAGTTATCAGCTCTGTGCAGTAGTACATCCGGTGCCAAATGATAGAAAGCTACAGCACGCACATGTGGGACATTACCAAAGAAAGGTTTGCTGGTGTGTGCAGCTTCTGTTCACCCAATGTATATGTGGCTTCTCCAGCTCCCTCCCACCGGTCAAACACATGCATGTCAGGTTAAGTGGATACTCTAAATTATCACTGGGAATGAGCGGCAGAGTGCCCGTTTGGCTGTCTCTGAGCGGTTCTATGACCCATATGGGATGTATCCCGCTTCTCGCCCGGTGACAGCCAAAGCGCTCCAGCCCTCCGACCCTGAACAGGCTTAAGCATCTAACGGATGTGTGTGTATCTGTGTATAAGCGATGTCTACGGGTAAACTTGTCGTTAGCGCTGCACAGAGGCCTGTTCAGCCTTACGCTTGCTTTATGCCACAGCGTCAGATGGGCAGAGAGCCCCGTGAGCTGTAGGTGACCAGTCTGGAACAGCAGAGTGTGTGTGAATCGACGGTCATTAGCATTACAAGCTAAGCTGATTCAGCTTCCACTGCAGTGCCCTGCTGACGGGCCTCACACACTGTGTGAATGAGCGCAACCAGAGCAGGGGGTCCCCCTCTCCATGTGAAAGCTACTGGAAACTGTACTTTTCCTGGAGTACCCACGGCCTTTTGATGTCATAACTGTGGGTTGTAAATTGTTCTCTGGAAATTAACTTGATGGCTAATTCTTCTGCGTTCTGGTAAATCACTTTGGCTAAAAGGACCATGTGTTCTCCACATGCCGCGTTATGTCACAATTTGATCCGAGCAGGGTGCCGCATACACAACTGGATCATTTCCCTTTGGAATCACAAAGTACTTTTCATTTCAAATGTCCATGTGGCTCTGTTTCTGAGGTAGTGTTCAGTTATCCTCTCAGGCCCAAATGCTCCAGGTTCAGAATAAAAAACAGGCTGAGCTCTATGTAATGTATGTCAATAAAAAGCATTCCAGACATTTAATGATTTCTACTTTTACACATTTATGAGATGAAGAAAGCTTGCTCTCGCGGAGAAATCCCGTTTCTGCAGAGTGGGACGGCAGAAACAACAGAGCCTCTGACTTTCAGCCAGACATGTCCTGCTCTGGGTTTTCCTCTACAGACAGGAGCATCGCTCCAGAATGAGTCCCGGCCAGAGGAACGCTGATCGGCCAGCTCTGGACCTGTGACTCAAACCAAAGCCCCAGACCCTGCACCACAGACCCACTGAAAGGCAGGACTTGCACATGAATCCTCTGGATCCCAGCCACATTGGAGCCTTCTTTGTCATTGCCATCATAAATCAAGTTGCGTTTCTTGGATCAATGAATGTTCCATCGTTAAGATGTTTTCAAATCGGACAATTAGGTTGTTGCTCCAGAGCGGTTTTGTGTGGAGCTTAGTCGTTAAGATCTCTCCCAAAACAGACCCACACCCACCAAATTAAATGGGTGTACATCACACTCTGCCCATCTTGATTCAGTCAATGTCAAAGGGAAAACGTCTGAAGACGAAAATGAAGGATGGCTGAGCGAAGCCCAGTCAAACTGTACAAAACAGCAGCATCACTGGATGTTTATATCTGGTTCTAAAGGTGGAACGTTAAAAACTGAACTTAAACGAGGCCAAATTTCTATTTCACCTGGGTAGAGTTTAGACTACAGCAGCGAATCCAGACTGTTCCAGGTGAGCGTGCGCCTGTGTGTTGAGAATTGTTGGTACTTCACGCTCTTTTCTTCCAACCCCTGTGTTGTGGATGTGGTAAAGACCAGAACAAAAGCAGCCATCACAGACTGACGTGCCGAGCTGCTGTGCTGTAAATAGAGTCATCTATCATTGACCAGACTCCTCGGCTCTTCAGGCTGATGCCCCTTTCTCAACAGGACTCTGTGTGTGAGTGTGTGTGAGAAACGAAAAGGTTAAATAGCTGCACAAACCAGGAGATGCATGGTGTACTTGTGAATGTGGCCTGTTGTTCAAAGCACTTGGATACAGACTGAGTGGGATGCAAGTGTGAATCTTCTGTTGGACGAAGCGTGGGCAAAACTTGAAGGAGGACTGGCAGCGTTTCATCCATCAGCACATTATTTCTGTCAGTTTCAAACACTGCCATTATAACAAAGACTGCCATATTAACCAACTACGAGCTGGAGGAGACTAAAAAGCCTGGCTGGTGGCTGAGGGCTTCTCTCCCTCTTCTTTCTCTCCGTGTAAAAATGAAGAAGGAAAGCAGGAAAAAATGCAATCAGTGAGGAGTAATAATGAAATCTGTTACCCCCTTTAAAGTGCCCGCTAGCCAGCTAAATCGGTAGCAGGCCCACACACCTAAATCCTCAGGGGGGCTGGTTTACGGTTTAAACCGGCCCACGGAAGCTTACACGGAGCAGACAGCAGTCAACGGCGAAATGTGGGAATATTTCCGTTGCGTTTCAGACAAAAAAAAGAGCCAACTACATCACGTACCTGTGCGCCGCCACGGCTCGGCTGTTCAGGTACTTCTGGGCAGTCATGACTCCGACGAACAGGAAATTGCTGGAGCCGGAGCCCGGCTTCTCGGTGGCCGGTGAGCCGTTGACTTGCGGCGCCCACAGAACTCCGCCGTGCTCCTTCCTCAGACCCCCGTTCAGCCCGCAAGCGGCGGGGCTCGCTTTCCGCTTTTGTCCGGCTTTCTTCAGCTCGGTCGCCTTGGGTAAAATCAGCCTGGAAGCCAGAGTGAACCCAACTACCAGTCCCAACAGAACACTAAACCATGCTCTTCGACTTCGAGCAGCCATTCCCCAAAACTTCACCAGCTGGCTGTCAATCCTTACTTTATCCAAAACCGCGTGTCTGTATGTAGAATTAATAGAGTAAAAAAATGTCTCGCGCTAATTAAAATAAAAAATAAATAAAACGCCCCGGGTTCTTTCGGTTCCCGTGGCTCACAAAAAAAGGGTTCAGACACACTGCCTCTTACTAGAAAAACCCTTCTCTTCCAGATGCCTACGTAGCATCGCAGCAGTCTCCTTGAAACTGCCACCTGAACCGTTCTCCGTCGCCGCTGCCTCTGACCCGCCCGCCGCGACCGAGCCGAGCTAAATCTACCCTCGATATGCAAACGAGCCTCTTTTCAACTTAGCTTTGAATAGCGGGACTCTTCTCGCCATTCTTTCCGAGCAGCAAGAATGTCTGACGGTTCTCCGTTGTCGAAGGGGTTTAACAGTGGTTTGACCCAACGGAATTTCCGTAGAATCGCTTTGACCCGCCGACGCTGCGTTTACGCTTCGCCGGAAACGCCATCATCTACCGTTGTATTCATCCGTTGTATTCATCCGAAGCGCGAAGCCAACTGTCTGTCTGTCGGTTGGACTGCAGACAGGAACAGTTTTGTAACAGTGGAACAGAAATAACCGTAAATCACGACCACGTTGCAAAATGTTATATCCGTCTGCGAAACGAGTCGAATGATTTTTTTTCTGTCATTGATTCCAGTATCTTCGCTTTTTCTCTGAAAAAGCTAGAAAAAGACTGAAAACAGAATCTAAAATGCAGTGTCTTTGGCTCTAGCATGCAAAACTGGACACTATATTCATGTTGAATATTATCAGTTTAATGAAAGTTTTGTCACATACGTCTTTTTACTTTGGATAAAGGTATTATGGAAATAGCACAATACAAATGATTATACAAATGTATTATTAAAAACGTCTTATTACCTTTATGTTTTGACAAACTGTCTAATGCCACAGTAGATGCAAACTTTTTTATAGGAAAGAACACAAGTTAAAGGAGACTGTCAGCAACAGGTTGAATGTGTTCTTTGGAAAATTAGATGGTGATATGTACTCCAGTCACCTTGGCTGATAACCGCACAAACATTTTGATTTTGCTAGGAAAAAAACTAAAGAAAAACCAGCTCGTCTCTGCCACTTCCGGTCACAATTAGCTTTCAATGGATCTAAGATCAAGAAAAGTTTATTTAAAAAAAAAAACCAAAGCCTTGATTAAGATGATCTGATCACATTTGTGACCAATTGATATTTTCCTCTGGACATGCTTCATAACTACTCCTTCCCTTTGTCTCAGTTTTGGCTATTCTATAATGAAAAGCTCATCCTGACTTATTCATTATTTCAGAAACATGACATTTCTGTACTGATCCAGTACTTTTACTGATAAAAGTCTAATTTGTGCTGGGGCTATGAAGAAGAAAATCATAGAGCAGTTCTTTAAATGAATTTAAGAATCAATTAAGTCCAGGGAACAGATATACGTGTTCGATAATAATAAAGCTATCATCAACCAATATTAGAAACACAGATAGCCGATGCATTCAGACATCCTCCCATTGTTCAAATTTGCAGCAACTCAGATTAAAAGGCTTGAATGAAGACATGTTTCAATAAGATTTTTTCTGAATACAATCATTTTGATAAAAGGTTCAGAAACAGTGGTCCTGTCTATAGATGAGGCAGAAAAGAATGCAGAACCTTTATTGTCATATCTGCTATACAATGAACGTGGAGAAGGGTTGGAACATTAGAATGACAAACCTGAAACTCTGAATACACAGAGCAAGTTTTTAGTCCAGTTGTCACAAAGAAAATTAAATGTTTCACACTCAAAGTGTTTACTAATTCCCTAAACTATTATTAACCTCGCTTTGACCCACAAATCTCTAATCAGATAACCACCACATTTCAGATTAGGACTGATTTTAGCTACCGACAACAGAATGAATTGAGGGGTAAAGATGTAAGTCTCAAAATGTCAGGATACAATGTTTTCTTCAAAGAGGGTTGATTGTGAAGAAGTGAATCCGTTCAAAGGCTCCGCACAAGCCTGATAATGGCATGGTGGCATGAATCAGATGTGTTAAAGGACCTGGGTCCTTAGGGACCCGGGTTGTGAAACACTGCTTTACAGTAAAACAGGCCTTTTTGTTTTTTTGCTGATCAATTTGCATAAAGGTCAGCTGATCTTAGCTGTCAAGACTTCCTAAAGCAACACAAGCATCTGGACAAGTTAAAACAAGTCTTTATTGCGTGAAAATGAAACGAGCATAACAACATATAAGCCCATCGAAACCATTTTGGCTTTATAATCAGAGCATAGCATTTCTTAACATTGAATGTCACCTACTAGCACTGCTGCTGCGATAGGAACTAATCCTACAGATTTATATAGCCATGAACAGAAGAAAAGAAGATAAAAACACACTGGCTTGGACGTACATCGGCCAAACCCACCGGTTAAAAAACCATTTACAGGAATGGCTTCATGACAAGCTTTCAATAACACACATTCACTCCCAAAAAAACCTAACAAGCAGAAAAGGTGTGGATGGTAAATAAAGGAAATTAGACTGGATGGCAAATGTCAACTCATCAAGAAAGGTGTAAAGAAATATCCCACACCAGACACTCCTCTCATATCAGTGGCCCCATGCTAAAGCTAACCTTTTTCAACCTCATTCCAGCTGGACCTTTAATGTTTTATGTGCAGCATGTCCCGAATTCCCTCTGGAACGTCTTGTATAATTTTGCAATTACATTTAGGCTGCATGACAAGAAATATTTCTACTGACTAGCAGTCAGTTGGGTTGTGATCCCTCCTTCTTGGTGCTCTAAGCACCAAAATCCCCATCTGTGCCAAACCAATCACTCTGGCAGCCTTTTGGCTAAACAGGGCTCTCCTCGTATTCATCACGCTGCTCTTTGAGACTGACGTTCGGTCTTGCTGTGGAAAATAGACCTTTTTTTTTACCTCAAAAACTCAGATGTCGCTATGCACAGTCTGAGGGTTGGTCCATTTTTTTTTAACAGCTCGTCCGGACGAGGCAAAGCCCGATTTCAGGGCAGCTGCTCTGGTTGTGATTGGTCTAGATTGTGAGCGTTGACATCATGACTTATACTTTCTGAACGACTTCCGCATGTGTGCTGACTAATTTCCATTTTCTTGGTGAGTTCAGGCTGCAGTCACAGAACACATGAAAGGTTATATTTTTAGTAACTGGAAACCATGAACCCACTCAGTTTGCTTTTGACTTTCAAATAATCTCCAAATCGTATTTGTATGGGAAGGGATCGGTTGCAGCATCCAATACCTGCTCCAGTATCTGCATTTTCAGCCTAACCTCTGTAAAGTAGTCCATTTAATTTATTTGACGTAGGAAACAAAGTGCATTTTAGAATGTTTTCATTTGAAATGGAGCTGATATTGCAAAGGAGTGTAGCATGAAGGAGGAATACGTGAAAGTGGGGGCGTGGTGTCATCGTCAGCTTGGTTCATCCAGCCAGTGTGCACATCAGTGTAGGAGGTCCCAGGTCCCACGGACCGGGGCCTCGAACTTTAACCTCATCCACCAGAGGACGGCCCTTTTCTTCCCGGTCTCCAGGAGCAAGTGCCTCCTCCCTGTCCAGCTAGTGGGTTGTAGTCTGGAACGCACAGAAGACAAAAAAATCATCTGAACATGCTCAAAATGTGTCCCTTAAAGCAGGTTTCAGAGATTTCCCTGCTGCTACGCACCTGATTCACACCAACACAACATCAGCAGAGCTTATCAATCGTTAGAAGAGATCAGATTTATCTGAACTGCACACCAATTCAAGGGGAAAATTCTACATAGTCTGGTTTTTCTTATGAATTATTCACATGCTGCGTCTGATTTGCCTCTGTTGTATTTTTTAAAACTTTTATTTTAAAAGGTAGACATTCATTGTTGACAGCAAACAGGAGCATTTCATTGTACAGGTAGAGCTGAAAAAGCTAGAATAGTGTGAAAAGGCTCGATGTTTATACTTCCTCCGTTTAGAAAGTGAAACTCATCCAGTCCACATCGAGTGAAATATTTTAAGCCTTTACTCAAATTTGCCTGCCTGCCATTTGCAAATCAAGTCTCCACAGTTTGGAGAGGAACTGAATCCACGCTGTCAGAAATTATTTGGGGCGCCGTTTAATCTGCTCATGTCTCTCCGCTGTGTTTTCACAGGTCTGCCGGTCTGCCGGCTGTAGCATGTAAGCGTTTCAGCATTACGTCATCCTATGATGACTTAAACCGGATAAAAAAGAGGCACCACCTTCTGGGTGGGATGAAAACTCATCAGTCTCTATCAAATAGTTACTGTCATGAGTTTTCTTTTTAATTAAATTGCATAAATAAGCATTTCACCACAAAATGCTTATCATATGATATATATTGACTTTTGATTAAACTAAGTAACAGAAAACTTAGTTTAATCTTAGTTTTAATCGCTTAAAAGGAAGCTCAGCAATTAATGGATACAATTCAGCTGTTATAAACTTGGGAGTTTTGGCATTTTAAATGATAACCGTAGCCTAAATATGGTTATTGGGTGCTAGAAAAGGCATGTGTGAAATGGTAACCTTGAGCCGGGAAATCCAAGTTATTCATTTTAGCTCAACATCTGTTTGGACACCAACCACAAGAGTACCGAGACTAGAAAGTAACAAATAAAAATAGCAAATGAGTAACAAAAGACAAAACTCCCTAAGCTTTTTATCTAGGTTTTCATTTCCTTTTCTCTCTGCAACTTCCCAACAGAACTTAGACATCTTCGGGCCTAGAGCTTAGCATTTGTCTTCTGGCAGTCCTCTCGATTTTTCTGACACAGAAGATGTTCTGTGCTCAAAGAAATAAAGACATATTTCTCCATTCTGTTGGTCTAAATACACATTCATAGAGTTTTGAAAACATCACATGGTATCATGACTTAGAGGAGAATTGTGCTGTGAAGAAAGTGATGAAGCTTAATGCTCAATAAAAAGCACATAAAAGAGGATCCTTGATGAACGGAGAGGGATTTCACACTGCCCATCAAATTAGTGATTAGTTTTACCATATAAAACATATCATTACGTCACCATATAGAATATTATATATCTTTGTGTAAACAATATGACAAAGATGACGAAAAGGGGAAACAAGGTTTACTCTTTAAAGAAGCAGATATTTTAAATATAATGAGTTTTAAGTTCGGGTACCACCGACCACTAGATGGCACTGTGGTTCCATGGGACAGTTCATGTCTCATCTAATGGATTCCATTCCCTCTGTTCAGCAGAGCACATTATAAAAAAAACAGTCAAACTGAAGCCTGAAGTGTCCCTGAAAACCTTTAAGAGCTTATTCAAAGGTGCACCACCAGAGGGACCAGTTCCTTTCTGTTGCTCATGAGCGCTGCTTATTGTGTCCCGTTGGCTTCCGTCACTGCCCTGGTTTCTTTTGATTTGCCTTCACTGAAAAGCACTGCTTTGGCCCTCTCTGCTGCTCCACACACGCCCACACCAAAGGATTGCTTCATCCTCCCAGCAGGTCATGAATAGTGAGCAGGTCCTTTAAAGCAGTGGTCCCCAACCACTGGGCCGCGGACCGAAATCGGTCCATGGAACAATTGGCATCGGGCCGCATGCCTAAGTCTGAATAATCTTTTATATTATCAAATCATTTATTTTGTAAAATGACCGTATTCTCTCGGCCACTTGGGCGCCAAAACTTTTAACCACACGTTAGAAAAATGAGTAAAAAACAGACATCTTTGGAAAGGGCCAATGAGGAGACAGAAGAAGTGATAAAAAGGTTTGGGACCACTGCTTTAAAGTATACAAAGTAGGCAGCCATGTTCCTGTCCTGGAGAGTTTTCACCCCCCATCTGGGTTTGGAGTTTACCCTCCAACAAAGGTATGCAAATGGCTCCCCAAACTTTTCCTTTGGGGGGCCTTCAGCATGCTACACAGCATGAGACCCAACCAAGAACTGACTGCATGGAAATGACACTTCTTTTCAGAAGTCTGACACTTGCGTACAAAACATAACCTGTTAATTGATCTAAATTAATATTCTAGTTTTTTTACACAAAAACATTGGGGTTTTCATGTTCTGTAAGCCATAGACATAAAAATGATACAAAAAAGGCTTAAAGTCTTTTACAAAATGTGTAATGAATCTTTATGGGTTTCACTTTCTGAAACAAGTGACAAAAATATAGAAAATGCTCAAGGTATTTTTTTTTTTTTTAGTGTACCTGTATATGCAAACAGGTAATAAATAGCTCCTACATGGACAGAAGCTGAGAAATGTTGGCAGAACAAAAGCCTACTAGTTGTGCGAACCACATACCTGCACTCCGAAGTGGCTTCTTGTCCGTCTTTGGTTTTAGCGCCGACTGGGATGAGCTGGCCTCCTCAGAGCTCTGTAGTAACAACACATTAATCAGACTGATTTATCACATATTGGGAGTCTCTCTGATCCCAGTCCTTTCAAAATAAAGGCTTTGGTTTAAGGAAGACCGATCCTTGTTGCTCTGCATCAGCATGCAGGACAGAGTGATGATAGTGTGGCTATCTCAAAAAACATGGCTCACGCTTTGTCTTTGTACAAGAAGCTGGAACGTGCGCTCTTATCTCTCCCGTTTGAATAAGCACCAACACCTCTGAGCTGCTCTAACCACAGTGCATGGGAAGGCCTGCATAATTAAGCCAATGACCTTCTTTCAGGGCCTGGTTGGAGGATGGGTGTCGGTTCAGAAAATAGCTGAGAAACTAAAAAACAAAAATCCCCATTAGAGAAAACAAACCAACTTCACAGATTTAATTTGTAGACAGGAGTTTTTTTCTTGCTTAGTTCCACTTTTTATCCTTCTCTGTAACTTGTTGGCATTTCTGCTACTTTTTTTTTTTTTTTACAGGAGAGGGAATAGTTAAGAAGAATTCTGGACCCCATCAAAGCCTTGCTCAGGTTTCAATTGAGCCCTATTTTATCCCCCAGACAAAGGCTAAAGCTGGCAGGTAATGTGAGCAGCCTTCAGCCAAACACAAAGCAAACCAGAGAGCAACAGGTTGGGCTCATCCTGAATATTCATTTTAAAGTAACAGAAAATGATTAATGATTTGACACTGTGTCTATAACTTAGTTACACAGAAATGGAATTTCACTCACCTGAGCGTGTCTCGTTGTTCCTTTGCTACTCTTTCCCTGCTGAATATTCTCCCAGACCTCTATCTTCTGCTTTCTTTTCTCTTCTTCTTGCTGCTCACAACAAAAAAAACAAAAACAAAAACAAAACCAATCAGTGGATGGAATGGACCAATGATCAAGCGGGTCTCCGTCTCATCACTGCACCTGCTTCTGTTTCTCCCTGAAGATGGCGGCTTTGGCATCGAGGTCCTCCTGCATCTTCCTCCGAGCTGCTTCCATGGCCTCTTGTCTTTTTGCCACTGCGGCAGCATCTTTGGCATAGATAGAGAGATTGAGACGTAAACAACAGCATGTCGTTTACAATGCGACGTCACACTTGAAACGGGACCATTACGCCTGTCCTATGAAACATGACAGAACTTTCCAAAAGCAGGTATCACGGACTACTTTACACACATTCGTGGGATAAAACTGCACGATAAGGAGTAAATAAATGGCACGTGAAAGAGCAGAGAAAGATCTGTGCCACGTGTCAGCTTACTAAAGTTTCTGAGGCCTGTAGTGTCACAGAATGATGTGTTTAGTTTGATTGCAAACTGGATTTCTCCCACAAATCTGGAGTGTGGAAAGCATCCTGGTGGTTACTCTGCAGCCTGCATGCAGTCACACATTAGCTGCAAGAGCACTAACTGACTGAAGTGTCCCAGATCTCCTCTGAATGACTCCGGGTGCTTCCATCTGAAGGTGTTCTCAATCCGTGGGATGTGTAATCCTGATCAGGTATTGTGGGACACATGTGGTGGCATCTTGATGCTGAGGCTGGGTCAGATTCATTTCAAGTGTGCAAAAAAACAAAAGATGGGGCTACCTTGCTGTGGTGGTGGAGAGGTGCTCCTCTGGCTGGATCTCCTCTTCCACAGGTGCTGGATGAGCAGGTAGACCATGAAGGTTGCCACCAGCAGGTGCCAGCCATATAGAGACAGAATCTCTCCAGCTAGGAGTGCGGAATAGGAAAAGAATACGTGAATGCCTTATTTTGAAACCAGAAATGCAACAGTGTCCTTTCACTAGCTACAATAACATGGAACTTATTCCAAAGCATACAGTCCTGCTAACTTCAACGTCCTTGTAACCCGTTTTGTCTGGTTGAATCAGAGGTGAGATTCATGCATAAATAAAACATGTTTTAAAAGTTATTTTTGAGCTAGCTTAGTTACCAGTGAGGGCCAGCGAACTCAGGTCCTGGTTTTTGAGGGGAGCTCGAACTGGAGTGTTGTTGTCATCGACATCTAAAATCTCTATTTCATCGTCCATGACAGACTCTCGGCAGACACTATCAGTGTCGTACAACCCTGTGTTCCGTATTAGAGAGCTAACGCTATCAGGTCAACAACATGTGGGAACTTCTGGCTGTCAACTATCTGTGTCTAAACAAGACGGCTCCCTTTCTATGGCGCGTTCCCCACTGCCGACGGGGAGCTAGCTACAGGCAAGATGACGTGTTGTTTTCTTCTTCTTCTTGATGTTTTTTGCTAGTTGGTAAACAACGATATGGTGCGTTACCGCCACCTAGCGGCAAGGAGCCTGGACCAGAATTTCCCACAGGAATTTAATCTTGTTGTACAGCTTTCTTAATTTTAAATAACCAAACATTAACTGATAACTTGACTTGATGACCTCTTCATGTATAAACTATACTTTACTTGAATTCTATTTAAATGTTGAACTAATTGTTGTCTCCCTTCCTCATATATTGTGCAGTCTAACAAAACCAGCTGTATTGTTTAATCTATTCCACAGTATTCTGATTTACCATTACTTTGTTTTCCCATGGTAAAAAGATTGCTATCTAACCCTATGTTCCCAAATGTATGATGATAAATAATTGTTTCTTTCGTCTTTAATTGCACAGTTACTACTTCTACTATATCCTTTAACAAGCACATCACCACCATTTCTTGGTAGGAAGAAAAAAGGCTGCATAGACAGGAAAATGAATGCTGTTAACATCCACACAATGAGCAATGCAAGTCACCTCATTTTCACCCCCATATGGATTTTCCTCAACTTTTTTCTGGAGGGATTATATGTAATTCAAGACCATGCAAAATGCATATGTACACAATGTTGGGCAAGTTTAAGGACCACATTGTCAAAAAAAGACATTGTATGTCTATATTTTCAAATAAAATACAGGCAGAACATTTGAAATATGACAAATACTGATTTCCCATTTGAAAAATCAATGTATCTGTACAAATTCAGAGATACAATATGCCCAATTCGAGCATATTGTATGCAGCTGCAACTAGAAATGAGATTTCAGCTGGCAGCTTTGCAGTGGCAGCCACCAGAGGGTACCACAGGGTGCCAGACCAGCTGTAAAAGCCCTGAGATTCTGCCATTGCAGGTAAATTCTACTTGAGTCATCCATTTAAAAAAAAAAATGCCTTTGAGCCTTCACTGCTTTCAAAAGTTTTTAAAGAATTAACATACAAATGGAAGACATTTTTAAAACAAGTAAAGTTAGGGGGACATTTTTTTGTACTTTGTTCCTGTGAAAAAAGAATTCGGCCAGACATAAAATAGCACATAGTTCTCGCTTGTTTTTCCAGAAGAACCCAAAAGTAATGTCCTCTCATGAAAGAGAGACTGATGATTATGGGAAAACACTGATGGACTGTGTCTTCAGTTTATTTAAAATGCTTTGCACAGTTGCACAAAGGAAGAATAGGCCATTTATGGTTTCAATATTAATTTTACAAAGATGAGCAAATAAAATAAAAAAAAATTGTCCACAGAAACAAAAAAGAACAAAAATAACATTTTTTTAATCACCTTGAAAGTCTCTCGAAAACCCAATAATCAAGTTAGAAATTTATGGGTAATATTGGACTCAGTCTTGAGCTTCAACAGTCACTTAAAATAAGTATAAATCAGCATATATCAGAATAAATAATACAGAAAATGCATTGGTCTCTGCGCAGGCGCAGTGTTGTACTCCGGTCCAATAGGTGGCGGTAATGTATTTCTGTGAGCCAATCAGCGCCAAAGAGGAAGTGGAATATCTTTGTTCCTGGGGTAGCGTGTTTTACCCTCCTGAAACCTTCTTGAAGAGTTTCCCGACAAGCAGACAAACTTTGCGTGGCTCGTATTTGACAGCGACATGGTTAAGTTATCTGCGGAGCTAATCGAGCAGGCTGCTCAGTATACCAACCCAGTCAGAGACCGGGAGCTGGATTTACGAGGTAAGTTCAACTTCCTGCGCAGCAACAGAAACGAGTCGGGCCTAAAACAGAAACACCATTCAAAACGTGACTGGCACGATTTAATTTACATAATGTGAATTAAAACTAAGCTATGGGCTATGGCGGTGGTTTCTGTTTGTCCTAGTGTCTGCGTTAGCTAACGTGGGGAAGCAAAGCAACGCACGTAACCAAAACGTTCACGTTTCGAGAAGCGCGCGTTTAGCGGGAGGGTCGGGTTAGCTGGAGAGCCTGGTTTCAGCTCAGGCTGAAGAGCCGTGTCAACTGTGGGCGACTGTTCACTTCCAGGTTGAATGAAAAGCTCAATTCAAGAAAAGCTTATGCTTCTAAGCAGGAAAGGGTTCGTTAATATATATATATTTTTTCCAGGTGGTTCTGAACTTTGTGGTGTAACTTGGTTATCTCTCCTGACTCGAAGGTTATAAAATCCCAGTGCTGGAAAATCTCGGAGCCACTCTGGACCAGTTTGACACCATCGACTTCTCAGATAATGAAGTGAGAAAACTAGACGGCTTCCCTTTGCTGAAGAGACTGAAGACGCTGCTGATGAACAACAACAGGATCTGGTGAGTGGAAGCCTTTCTTCCATCCTGCACCTCCAGAAACACAGCCACATTATTTTGGCTGATCTGTGCAAAAGATCTGCCAATTCTGGAAGATTTCCTCATGCTTTTCGTTAGGTTTGGAAATACGGTCACGAGTAAAACTTATGAATGTATTACCTTTCGTGTATCTATAGTTTTGATTCAAAGTGGGTCAAAGCATCCTCAAAATATTGAAGCCATCGGCTTTTTTTTGCTTCAGATCTGAAGCAGATGGTGCTCACAAATAGTTCAGGGTATGATCAGAGATTTAGTGTATTCTAATCAAATCTTCACAGAAAGGCAGCATCGTCCCAACACCCAACCAGTTTTTTTCCAATGTCTCAATACCATAGTTGCCCTGATAGTTGTGTAATTTTGGGAAGTTTGTGTCGTACACACGGCGTTCAGCTTTAATCTGATGGTGCTCATCTCTTGGGGAAAGCTGAGTCCATGGTTTTGTTTTATTTGGTGTGCTGATGACATTATCTGTCTCCCCAGTCGCATAGGTGAGAACCTGGAAATGGCTCTGCCGAGTCTGAGAGAACTCGTCTTGACCAACAACAGCATTCAGGAGCTAGTGAGTACCCTCTGACAACATTTAAGCATTAAGCACGGGAATCATCAGGAATGAACAGGAATTTATGGGAATAAAACAGAAATGTACAAAATTGAAGGTTGGCCCTCAACAGGGAGTTTAGATATAGTCTGGGAAAATATATTGTAAACCTATATTGTTGCATAATCTTGGTTAAAGCAACCAAATTTAGTGCAAACACTCAGTGACATGCACACAGTGCTGCTTACTGGACGGCTATTGAAAAAAAAACTAAAGATGCCACACAGATCAGCCTGTCAACAATACACATTTTTTTATAAATAATATTCTGAATTTAATTTAAACTTTTGAATGGGAATTTGATTGAACTGATTTGTTTGAATTGAAACTAAAGTTGTACTCGAATACATTTTCTTAATGTCATGTTTTTTTAAGAATGTTGTACATGGATGTTTGGTTGTGACAAAACAAATATATTTACCTTTGGACATGATAGTTTGTTTAAATTACCCCCCAAGTTTCAGTTAATTCCCAAAGAAAATGTTTCCAATATGGAATATTTTCAAAATCCCCCAGCTTAACTTCCCATGGAAGGTTTCTGGAAATGTCCCGCCGCTTTGTGGTGCACATAGTAAAAATTTGAGTGTTAGGGAATGGTTAGAATCTGTCACCTGTTGCTGAGTACAGTTTCTTTGGCAGTTAAGCTTCTGAACATGTGTTTCTGTAGCAGAAAATAGATTAATTCAACTCACAGACTGACCTTGGAGTTGAGATTTTACCCACAAATATCTAAAGCAGCCATGAACTCCTTTAAGATATTAATATAACATATTATTAATCGTGAAAGGCAAACTGTGAATGATGAGGTCCATGAATATAAATTAGTCTTATTTAAGATGAGGAAATACATAATTTCCATGACCATGCCCATTATATGAACCTGCCAACCCTGATTTGGATTGAATTCAGACTACTGACACATTTACATGAGCTCAGTTGATCTTTTCCTCCATTCTGTCTTACCGCTTTGCTCAGGCTCATCTATCCACTGGCAGATCATTGTGGGGATGTCTTTAGGTATTTTTGGCTTCAGTGTGCCACACACAGTGTGCACAAGGGATGTTTCAATCTTCCCCAGAGGAAGATCTTCCAGTCCTTTGACAGTAGCTTGTTATGCTTTCCTACCACCTCACTCCTGTATGTAGCAGCAGCACAGGGTCGGGGCATGAGGAGATATGATGACTGACTTTAGGTCAGACCTGTAGTTTGTGTTATTTTGCCATCAGTCCTTTCTGAAATGTCACATTTCCCTCTGTAAAACTGCGGGTTTGAATCTTCATTTGCTTTGCAGGGCGACTTGGATCCACTGGCCTCGGTGAAAACGTTAACCCTCCTCAGGTATCCCTCCACACTGTCACTGGTTATTGGGACACAGGTTATTTATGGCACCGCATTGTGATTATACATGATGTGTATTTGCTCTAATTACAGCTTGCTAAGGAATCCAGTGACCAACAAGAAGCATTACAGGCTCTATGTCATCAACAAAATCCCACAGATCCGTGTTCTCGACTTTCAAAAAGTAAAGCTCAAGGTACGTTTTGATCAGTGAAAACTTCCCTCTGAAAGAAGCCTGCAGAAGTGCTGAAACTTAAAGTGAAAAGTTTAATTTTTCCTTTTAAGTTTAACAATAACCCAACAAAGATGCAGAAATAAAACCCAGGAATCGTAACAAATCCAGGGATTCATTTCCCTGGTTTTTATCTAAAAACTGAGCAGTGTCCCATTCCCTGCTGCTCTTACAAGCAAAAGCCATCCCCACAGCATCATGCTGCCACCACCATGCTTCATTGGGGGGGGGGGGGGGGGGGGTTGAGGAAAGTTCAGGAAGTTCATCTTTAGTCTAATCTGAAGAGCACCTTCTTCTGTGTGTTTGGAGCCTTCTCTATAGGCTCTCCTCATGAAATCCGGGTCTGTGAACTATAGGGATGTCCCGATCCAGCTTTTTGTACCTTCGATACAAATAACAGCCTATCAGAGCATGTATTCAAGTTTAAAGTTATTTATCTTACTTGCTTAGTTCTCAGACTCATGTTGAACAGGGATTTACTCTTAAAACAACTTAATGAGGGGGATGTTAATGCTCCTGTGGGATCAGACTTTAAAAAAAAAATACTGGATCGGGAGTCTGGATCGGCATTTTCTCATGCCAGCCGATACGCGTTTTTTTACTAATATAAGCGGACAAACCTAGTGAACTGCACAGTGTAGGAGAGTCCTGAAGGCAGATACAGGTGCTGTGTGGGCTCTCCAGCGTGCTTTAGAACTTCAGCCTGATTTAGTAATTCTGTCACTGTAAACCTGACATGCTCTGAGGAGCTTTGCTCGCATGCAAGATTGTCATCCACTCAAACTGCATGTAAGCTTTTCTTTCCGCTCTAACTGTGCATGGCTGTTTTTAACAGGAACGCCAGGAGGCAGAGAAGATGTTCAAAGGCAAACGAGGCGCCCAACTCGCAAAGGATATCGCCAGGAGAACAAAAACGTGAGCTTTCACTTTGTCACACACCGTTTTTCACTGCCCTGCTTCCAAGATGAGCTAGTGTTGTATTCGTGGGGTTAGGGCTGCCTATAACTGTGCCCTATTCTCAGGTTCACTCCTGGAGAGGCAGCACAGCCCGAGAAGAGGAGGACAGGACCATCTCAAGCAGACGTCGAGGCCATTAAGGTCAGTCTGAGATAACGGGATACAGAGCCGGGTGGTGCACAGGTTTTCCACAAGTAGAAAAACTGTGGAGCCATCTGTCACGGCTCATATTTTACTAAATGAAGATAAGGAACCCTTTATGTGTCACTTCCTCTGCGCATTTCTACTGCCCTAAAACTACATGACAGCACATTTGACAGTGAACCTGTATTGACTGGACAGTCATGTAACAGCAGTGAGGCTGAAGCTCAGTGTGTGTGTGTGTGTGTGTGTGTGTGTGTGTGTGTGTGTG